CACACACACACACACACACACACACACACACACACACACACACACACACACACACACTGGGATTTCCTGCCAGGCCCGGGGGACACACAGCTCTCACTGGGTTGCTGGAAGAGGCAGGTGGGCATCATGTAGCACAGCCAGCAGTGTGTTCTCCAGGGGTCCAGGGGTCCAGGGGTCCGTCCTGGGCCCCTCAGAGAAGAGGAACTCTAAACACCCATAAACCAGGCATATGGGCTTTAAATCAGGAGGTCCTGGGTTCTGATACTGGCTCTGTCCTGATTTACTTCAGGGTCCTGGGCTTTTTTATTTTTTGAATGACTTTATTTTTTTTTAGGGCAGTTTTAGCTTTATAGCAAAATTGAGTGGAAGGTACAGAGATTTCCCATATCCCCCTCCCCCACCCTCCCACAGCCTCCCCCTCTATCAACACCCCCCAGCAGAGTTTGTTACCATGGAGGAACCTCTGCAGACCCATCATCATCAGGGTGTATGCAAACTACATGCTTTTTGCCATTTGTGGATCTTCTTTGGTGAGGGGTCTATTAAGGTCTTTGGCTGGGCATGTTTTTTAACCTCTCTGAGCCTCAGTTTCCAAATCTGTAAAGTGGCAAAAATAATATCTGTTTCAATCAGGGTCCCAGCAGGAGACAGAGTTTAACCCAGGTGGTCAAAATGAGGGGTGTGACTAAAGGGACTGCTTGCAGAGGTGTGGGCAGGTTAAGGAAGCCCCAGAGGCTGGCACTTGCAGGAAGCTGCCACCATTCCTGGGGCTGGAGGAACAAGCAGAGGACGTGGTGTTTCCAGTGGAAGCTGGTGGGAGCTGCAGCTGTGGCGGGGCCTCCTGGCAGCAGCTGTGGTGACAGAGGGACAATCAGTGCCAGCTCTGCAGCATGTGGGCAGTGAAAGGAGGACCCCATCCTCTGCCCTTTCCCTCTGATCCCCAGCGGCTGCCTCCCACTGGCCAGACCCAACCAGGCACCAGAGAAGGCGGGGGTGGTGCAGCTTACCAGGGTGGGCACAGAGCTAGGCAGTGAATGGATCTGGGGGAAGGGGGTGCCACAAATGAAAAGTGACCAGCACCACTCATTATTGGGCCATTCATTCACTCATTCTTTCAGCAAACGTCTGTCAGGCACCTTCTAGGAGCTAAACGCTATCCTAACTACGAGGAATATCTTAGGGGAAGAAAAGACAGAAGTCCCCTCTCTCAGGGGACTAATGTCCTACAGGACAAGCTAAACAATAAAGAAATAATCAACTGTAGAACTTAATGCCAAGTCCAAGTATAAAAAGGAAAACAGAGCAGGGCAAGGGAAGAGACGTGGAGGGGGGCTACTGTGGGTGGCCCAGCGAAGGTCACCCTCACCTCATGTTTGCTCCAGCTGGTCCCTCTGCCCAGATGCCCTCTCCACCTCTGGGATGCCCTGACAGGCCACCCCAGTAGACTTGCTCGTCCCAGGACCCTGGGGACCTCATCAGCGCACTCCCTCTTCCAGACCCTAGTCCCCAGGAAGGCCTGCCACCTGACCTGTCCTATTTTAACAGTTTCTGGGGTGTCCGGTGGCTTAACTTCAAACAAGCGCAATGATAGGAGGGAAAGACGTTTAAGCACTGAATATGAACGTAGATATTTGCACAATTGTATTTCAAAACTTTAAAACAATCACTACCCGTGTACACATAGGAACCAGTAACCATTACCACCGGACCGCCCCAGCCAGGCCGCCTGGCCCCTGGCAGCACAAGACTTCCTGGCTTCCACCCAGCGCTGACTGTTATCCCGCCAGAGAATTCCTGGTCCAGGAGCCACCCCCACCTACCCCAATACACTGTCATGGAGGAGACAGGGTGAGCCTTTTTAAATGAACGGTGAAAAAAACCCTTTTTAGACACTCTGGGGTGCTAGATGTGGGGTGCTGATTGTGGGGTATAGGGTATGGGGTGTTGGCTAGTTCCACTAGGGCGGGTACTTCTAAAACTTCAAGAAGCTGGAGAATCACCTGAAGGGCTTGTTAAAACCCAGATTTCTAGGCCCCATCCCCAGATTCTGGAAGTCTGGTTGGAGCCCAAGAATTCTAATTTCTAACAAGTTCAGGGGTGATGCCAATGGAGCAGGTGGGGACACGCTTTGAGAACCATAGCCCTGGGCTATTTAAATGCTGGAAGCGTTTGTTTGCTGCATCTGTCCCCGAGTCCCGGGCAGGGGCTGAGTCTAACGGTCCGATCTTCCCTCCTGGCTCCCAGGCCCCCCCCACCCCGCCCCGCACAGGCCGGGACTTGGGGAGGACGCGCTCAGAGGATGTTCGAGGACCGCTGAGGGGTGGGTTACTGGCAGATCTGGGCCGCTGGCAAAACCGGGGACGCCCCCTTCCTCCGCGGGCGCCGCCCACAGCCTGCGCAGTGCACCGGGATGGGGGATCCGGGGAGGGCACCCCAGGCCCCCAACTCCCAGCTCGAGCGGGCCCTACCCGCGGAGGGCGCCGGTCGGGGGGCGTGACCGCGGCCCAGCTTGCAGCCCGGCGGTGGTCCCCCCCGCAGACCCCGGGTCCCGTGGGCCGCGCCCGCGCCGGACGCCCTGCGCCGGCCCGGGGGGCGGGGCGGG